ATGAATTTAGGAGTTTTGTAAGTGATGTCTTGCTCAGAGCCTTTTGCTAAAGACTCTGAGGGATATAAATACAATTAACATGTAACTCTGGGGTGGGCAGTGGAAAGTTACAGAAGTTACTTTAGGGCGTTTTTTTTGCAAGCTGTTGTAGGTCTGCAAGCTGGGAGGGGGTCGTAGGGTGTGGAGTCACCAGGTTGACCAAGATCCGTGGGGCAGGAATAAGGAAAAATAATGTCTTAAACTTAAGTACGTGCTGCAGGGGTTGATCATTTCTTTCTATTTTCATGGTCTTCCAGTTACTTTAGATTTTCCAGGAACTCAACTGGAGTGTCTGTGAAGGTTACAGAGGTTAACATGGCGTCCCTGGGGCCGTCAGTCGGCCTAAAAGACCTTACAACCATGGGATATAATCTCCTGCTATCATGATTCATCTTGATGTTCAAATTGTCCCAGATTTGGCCAACAGGAGCCTCTTCGAGCTGATTGCTTTGTCCTTTTGAACTGCCTCCACCATTTCTTGAGCATTTCCATACTTCCTAGCATAAAATGTTCCAGTCTCATACTATACTTTAGAGAAAGTATATGTCCCAACCTTAACATCAGCCGTTTCTCTAAAGAGCCCTGGTTCCTTTTCACAGAGAATGTTTAGAGCTAGGTGTTAGGTGTTCTCTTGGCTAATGTGGTGTTGCTGCACCAAGGCCTTCTCATTGGCTAGAGCTGGGAAATATATGTACATACATTTATACATACATATATGTGTGTGTGTGTGTGCGTGTGTGTGCATATCTGTGGAAAAATCACACACCCTCTTCTCTCACCCTCAATAATTGACGAAGAAGACTTCAGTGACCAAATGTCAGGGGGCGTTTCCCCACACACCAAGCAAGCAATCGATTCTGCAGCAGACACCAATTAGGTGTCCTCCTCCCTTCTAACCTGGATAGCATCAGATCCCACAGGTTGAGGCTCACTCTCCAAGATACCCCCCACTGCCCCACTCTGCCCCTGACCACTGACCAGTCCCAAGTCTGGGCCTCCACAATGTCTCACAGGCTTCAAGTTGTTGTTCCCATGACCTCCTCTTGGGTTAATTTGCTAGAGCAGCTCACAAAACTCAGGGAGACACTTATGTTTACAAAGGATATTATAAACAATACAGAAGAAAAAATATATAGGATGAGATGGGAGAAGGAGCTCAGACCTTTCATGCCTTCCTTGGGTGCACCACCCTCCCAGTAACCTCATGGTTCCCGTTCAGCTATCTGGAAGCTCTCTACCAGTGTCCTTTTGGGTTTTTACGCAGGCTTCATTATATAAGGCATGACTGATTAAACTGTTGCCCACTGGTGATCCACTTGACCTTCAACCCTTCTCCTTTCCAACAAGTTGGAGATAGGCTGAAGGTCCAACTCTCTGATCCTGCCTTGGTCTTTCTGATGACTGACCCCATCCTAAAGCTACCTAGGGGATCCCAGCCATCAGCCAACTCATTAGCATACAAAAGACATCACTTTGGTGTTAGAAATTTAGGAGTTGTACACCAGAAAATAAGGTCAAAGATCAAATATGTATTTCAAAATCTCACAAAATATACATATATACACGCTTGTACATTTATTTTACATCTACATGTATTAAGAACCATTAATTTACATGACTACCTCCAATTCCAATCCAATCACACAAACTTCTTGCTTTTCTTATTTCTGTACTTGTAACTCCTTTCTCCAACAGTGAGAAATCTGGCTCCCATTACCCTCAACATAGCTTTTCTTTGTGTAGTTCTCCTGTGTGTAATCAGCTGTCTGACCTTGCAGGGCTGCCCTACCTTTCTTGTTTGGGCTCAGACTCCCCACAGAGCTGACAGCCCAGTCCAAAATGGGAGTGGCTATATTCTCCCATACAGATATTAAAGCAGACAGAACAAGTTAGTAGAGATACATAGAAAACAATCACAGCAGAAGGACACAGAGAGTATCTTTTGGGTTCCTGAAAGCTTTCCAGTTACGTACTGGTTCTAGTTTTTGCTAAGATGTGGCTGTATTCCTGGCATTTGTGAGAAGCACCTACATCATTATGATAAATTCTCCCTTTTTGATTGAGCTAGTTCAGGTTGGTTTCTGTTACTCGCAAACAGAGAGTCTTAAACAAAGGTATATTTAAATCCCGGCTTGTTCTACAAAAAGAAACCAAATTGTGGAAATAATTGGGGCTAAGGGAAAATAAAAATTAGCCCATAGAAAACGCATACCACATGATACTATACTGTTGCTTAACATGGGCTGAAATATTAGCTCTAAGGTTTCTAGTGATCCAAAGTGTGAAACAATATCCCATACAGAGTTTTATGTCTCTGGAATTAAAACAAACCAGTGAGGGAAGCATGAATAGATAGACCATTAGAATAGACACAGAGTCCAGAAGTGAACTACTCAATAAACGACTGTGTAGCCATCTGGACAAAAAAATTAATTTGGATCCATACCTTCCTCATATACGAAATCTATTCCAAATAGATCAACATTTAATTGCAAAAGACTTAAAGTCTAAACGTCCATCAATAGAGGATTGGTAAATTATGGTATGGATCTATCTGCAATAATATGTTAAGGGGGTTGAGACAATATCAGGGAGCTCTGTACGTATTGCTATAATAAACATGTCTTCTGGACATATTAAGTAAAAAAAAAACCAAGGTGGAGTAAATATGTATGATGTGCTGGCATTTTTGTAAACAAAGAACACAAGGAGTGATTCTTATATACATAAGCATTTTGAAGAATGAGCAGGAAACAGTGGTCACCTATTTGTGACAGAGGACAGGTGTGAGGGAGATCTTTTTCCACCGTGTGTCTCATAGAATTTCTGACAAATGAACAATATGGATGTACTACTTATTTTAAAAATAAGAACTGAAACTGATAAAAAAAATCAGATAGACCTGCTGATAGAGAAGCCTGACCAGTCTTGACATATTGTGAGAGGACAACCAGAGGGCTGGAGTTGTACCAGCCCACAAATTTCCACTGCCGGTAGAGCCCAGTGCCTGCCCCCTCAGTGAGATGCTATCCTTCTCATAAAGGATTATCTCCAGAAAGCCTTATATGTATGACTGGGGACTTATAGGTATGAAATGCTCACAGTGCTTGATATATAAGAAACCATTTTGATACGTCGGTCTGCCAGGAGAATCCTGACTACTCCCTAATTTTGCCCATGAATATGCTACTTCAGGTCAAACTTCAAGCCAATTCATAGTAAATACATTATCAAAATTTTAGCACAGTAATGATTGAGCACACGAGCCTCAAAGCTGGACTACCCGGGTTGCAATCTCAGTTGCTCACTTACTGGGTACTTGCTTGCTGGAAGTCATTCCTTTCTTCGTCTGTTAAAACAGGAAGCAGACTGGGCTCGGTGGCTCACGCCTGTAATCCCAGCACTCTGGGGAGGCTGAGGCGGGCAGATAACGAGGTCAGGAGACCGAGACCTGCTTGATCAATATGGTGAAACCCCACTTCTACTGAAAATGCAAAAATTAGCTGGGTGTGTTGGTGCACACCTGCAATTTTAGCTACTCTGGAAGCTGAGGCAGGAGAATCGCTGGAACCCAGGAGATGGAGATTGTATATGGCACCATTGCACTCCAGCCCGGCGACAGAGCGAGACTCCAATTCAAAAAAAAAAAAAAAAAGGAAGCAGTTACAGCCCCTGTCTCACAATGTGCGCGAAGTTTACAGCACCTACCTTACAGGGTGCACATAAGGATCACAGGAATGCAAGCCCTAGGTCAGCCTGCCCAATGGCAACATAATGCAGGCCACAGATGGCATTTACAATTTCATAGAACCCACACTAAAAAAAACCAAAAAGTAAAATGAAACTTTCATGGCAATATATCAAAAAAAGTTGATCACTTCAACATGTAACAATACAATGATTAATGAGATGCTGAACATTATTTGGTAAAGAACACATACACCTCGATTCGGACTAGCCATACTTTAAGTGCTTAGGAGCCACGTGGGGCTGGTGGCCCCAAGCTGAACAGTGCAGCCCAGGCAGCGCGGGCGCCCAGTAGGTTCTGCTCACGCCCAAGGGCTCAAACGTGGTTGCTCAAGCCCACCACACCTCACCTGGAGCGAACCGACCCATCGGGGAGTCCACTGAAGAGATGTCTACATTTGGGCATAAATTAAGACGATGCTCTTTAAGCCAGCCGCTTATTTAACTCCCACCAATATTTTATAATTCCTACTAGAAGATGTGGTGGACGGTTCTGACCTATGCAAATGGACAGTGTACATACACAGGGCTACCGTCTATTTCTCATTATCTGGGGATCCCAGTTGGGGTGGGAGCCGAAGCGGGTGTTTGTAAATTTCACCCAATGCGGAGGCCCCTGCACCACTAAGGCGGGGAAGCGCAGGGGAGTAGGACGGTCCTTTAAAGACGGGAGGGAGGTGATCAGAGGGGAGGGAACCTCTCCGGGGAACAACTACGGCCACGTTACGGTCTGTGAGTGTCAGAAGGAGCAACAATGGAGGCAGTCGAATTCCGAGAGCCCGGAGCGTCCGCCAAGTTTAGCTAGCACCACAGCCTCGGCGCGCGGGTTCCCAATGGCCGCAAAGGCTCCCGGCCGCGGCTGCAAGAGCTGCAGGGTCCAGTCACGGCGCTGGGCCGCAAACACCGCCTCCGCCTCCGCGCGCGGCCCGCTGTCTCCCTGCTCCTGAGTGGCTGGAGGGCCGGGATTAACCTTTCACCGCCGCGCTCTGTCCAATCACAGGCTCGCTCTCATGCCGCCACGGGGCGAGCGGAGCGTGGGTGCACGGAGGGGCGGTGCGGGCGCCGGTGGGATTCTCCAAGCGGCTGTGCGCCGTTGCCGCGGGCCGTGCGCGGGCTGCGGGCCAGCCGGGCGCTGCGCAGTCTCCGCAAGCGCCGGCGGGAGGGGTCGAGGCGGAGGCGCGGCGCAGGCTGTTGCAGGCCCAGGTGAATGGAGTAACCTGACAGCGGGGACGAGGCGACGGCGAGCGCGAGGAAATGGCGGCGGGGGCAGCGGCGCCGGGCGGCTCCGGGAGGCCTGGGCTGTGACGCGCGCGCCGGAGCGGGGTCCGATGGTTCTCGAAGGCCCGCGGCGCCCCGTGCTGCAGGTGAGGCGGGCTCCCGCGGAGCAGCTTTGTGTCCGGGGCGGGGAGCTGCTAGTCTGGCCGCGCTCCCGCCTCCGCGCCGAGGCCCGCGTGCCTGCCCTGGGCCCCAGCCGCGCGTCCAGGCCTGGCGGGCGCTGGCGGAGGGCGCGGCCTCTCCTGCCTAGTCCTCCCGCGCGGCGCGGCCTGTGGGCCCGGCGTTTGCCCGCCGCGGCTCTGCTCCTGGGCCCCGACCCCGGCGCCTCCCGGCGAGGCAGCCCTGGGAGACTTTCCGGGCCACCTTAGCATGGCAGGGGATGCTGGCGCCTGCCCACTCCCCTGCCTGGCGAGGCCCCGGGGCTCTTGACAGGTCCCGTCACGCGCGCGAAAGTGGCACGGGAGCGGCGGAGGTGGAGACGCGCGCCTGGCCACCCGGAGCACCCTCGGGCCCTACTCTGACCCGGCCGCTGGCTCTTGGTCCCCCCCGGGAGGGTCCAGTGTAACAACTGGCAGGGGACCAGATCGGGCCCGCGAGACAGGGGCCGAGGCCATTCTTTTGCCCCTCCCCTCGGATGTTTTTGTGCCTAGACCCTGAGGAGGAGTCTTTCTTCAGGGTTTTTGATTTTGGGGAAATCAGTGTATGTTTTAAGTTATCACGTCAGATTTATGTAGATTGTCCAGAAAAGCTGAGTTGCCCTGATGGCTCTGCCTGGGGGTCAGAGCTGGCAAACCACTGAGTGTTTCCGTAGGATCCTGAAGATCCGCGGAAACGTGGAGAGGAGTCCTTGGTCTGTAGAATTCACTCAGTGCTTTTGTGGAGAGAGTTGTGGTTAAAGGGACACGTTCCTGATCTACACGGTATGTTCAAGTATTCTTAGGACTTTCAGGTTTTAAAAACATTCATTTGATGAAAGAGGATCACTTGGAGTCTGTGCTTCAGTCTTCGAATAGTATGAATCTTTGTCGTCGTGATTGTCAGGTGTTTTCCGTGGTGCTTGTTTTCAGTCAGTGGAAAAGGCCTCAGGTAGGAGTTAAGTAACTCGGAAAATATTGTTAAAAATGTGCTTTTAGAACAGGTTAGCTATATTGACAATGTATTGGTGTAAACATTAAGTTTTCTAAATGAAAATATGCATCCTAACCAAAAAACTTCGTTTATTAAAAGATGGGTTTGGGATAAGCCAGGTACTAGAGAAAAGTAAGTTTGGATATTACTGATATCTTTGGGAATTAGGTTCTGAAATGGCCAGTTTATTTTGCAAAGTCTTCTTTAAGAAGACGTGTATATTATAGGAATATGTGCTGTATACATACACATACATATACAATTATTTCAAAGCTTCATTTTAGGGCATATTCCTTAAAACTCAATAGATTAAGAAACTAAAAATTTTAACGTGGTCTCTATAAACATTGATCATGGTAACATAGGTTTATAGGTTTACTCATGACACTAAAAATGCTCTTTTAAGAAAAGACGAGTTCTTTTTAATTTGGGGAGAAAAGACATTTTCCTACTGTTCTTTATAGTAAGGGCCTGCTTTACTTTTTGTGCTTCCATCCCATCTTTGAAGGGTAAGCGTTGACTGCTGTATTTTGCCTCTGGCTCAGTGTGTGAGTTGTGTAACTGGGTTGTTTTGGCTCTTACTGAGCTTTACTGTCTTGGTTTTAGAAGACATTTTCTTTTGATGTGGCTCATGATTCTTATTTGACAGTGATTTTGTGGCGTCATATAGTGGATTGTACAGTACTTGCAGTGCTGCCTTCTAGAGAGGATGACTTTTATGGCATTGACATGTTTTATCCTCTACCACTATCTGACATGTGAGGCGCTTGTTTCATTTGAGAAAGTAGATAAATTTCATAGACATTCTCTCACTTGTGAGCCTACCATGTCATGGTCACGTTTCCACTTGCTCATGGCAAAGGAGATTAGGACAACATGTTATTAAGTGCCTCCTTGTTATATGCCAAAATATTTCAGGTTCTTCCACATACATTCTCTTTTAATCCTCACTGTGACCCCGCGATCAACTCAATATTGTACTTATTTTACAGGCAAGGAAACTTAAGAGTCAGTGATTATTACTCCGAGTTAGGAATCTCAGAGTCGCAGAGCTGAGGTCCAATTGTGGTTCGGTTTCAGAATCCTTGCAGGCATACTCTTTGCATCGCATTGCTGTTCCAAATGGATTTCAGGGGGAAGTTCTGGATCACATGTAGTGAGTCCTCAGTCGAGACTTGTGGAATGAATGAAGTTGTGTCTAACCTGAAATGTTCAGGTGAATGAATGTTTATCTGAATATTTCAGATAGTTTTTTTTTTTTTTGGCATGATAAAATATGCATAACATAACGTTGAACCATTTTAAGTGTACAACTAGGTGGCATACAGTACATTCACATTGTTTTTATTTATACCAATATCCATCTCCGTACTTTTTCATCTTTCTTAAACTGTGCTCATTCACACTACTAATTCCATCCTATCTTCTGTGCCAGGGAACCACCATTCTACTTCCTGTCTCTGACTACTCAAGAAACCTCCAATAAGTGGAATCGTACAGTATTTATTCTTTTGTGTCTGGCTTATTTCACCCTGCATAGTGTCTCTGCAGTTCATCTATGATGTACATGTCAGAATTCCCTTCCTTGGAAAGGCTGAATGGTATTTCATTGTATGAATATACTGCATTTTGTTTTTCCATTCATCTGTCCATGGTCACTTGGGTTGCTTACATCTTTTGGCAGCTGTGACCAATAGTGCTGTGAACATAGGTATACAAATAATTCATTGGAGTCCATGCTTTCCCTTCTTTTAGATATATACTTAAAAGTTGTCACATTGTTTCTTGATATGAAAACACTAGGCTAGACTCAGAATTTATTGCAGTATGAGTTTTCTCAGGGTTCTTCCAAACAGTGATAATTTGCTACAAACAACTCCTCTGTGTCAGCAAAATCTGTAATCTCTCTGAAGCTCAGGATTTACTCATTTTTATGATCTTGGTTCCTATCGTATTGTCTGGCAAGTAGGTATTCGAAAACCTGATCAAACATGGAGTGATAGGCTTTATTGAATACGAGAGGAAGATATTGGTGAGGTCTTTGTTTAATTTGTATAAGGAGAAAGTTGGAGCCAAGTGATTTATTTTGTTTACCTTTTGCTGTGCCTTTTGGACGTGTAAGAGCTTAGCTCATCCTGAAAGCCCAATGGATATGTATTATAATAGCTCTTATTCAGGTTTCTTTGCAATTTATGACTTGCCAAATGATTGTAGTTATCTGAGGCAGCATTATTTTCTTGGTATTCTACCTCCTTAGCCTGTGGGGCTTGGACCCTTTAGTCCTTACTTACTTATTCTTTGATGTTTACCAAATTATTTGCATGATAAAGGCTGGTTTTCAGTTCTTCCAAATTTCTACCAAGACTCTAGTATTGTACATTTACTTAATAGTTTATGATGTCTACTTTGTGAAAGGATTTGAGATGATCTTATAATAGGAAAGTATTAGAGTACTGTGAAAATAATGGTAAAGGTTGGTAGTGTAGTATGTGGAGGCAGAGAATTAGATCAATGATTAGGGCAAGGATAATTGAGTGCCTACATGTAACTCATATTGATTAATGAAAGGAAGCATACCAATTAGGAGAAGTAGATTTTTCTCTTGTATGAAGAATAATCAATCTTTTGGATTCTTACATTAAATAACATTAGCAATATGTGGAGAAAATGTTTTACATTTCACCAATGATAGAGAAACGTTTTTTTCACATGCCATTTTAGAGAAAATGGATAAAAGCCTCAGGCATAATAGAAAAGGTTGAGTAATACAGGTGTGCACTGTTCCAGTGGTTTGATTCATTAATTTGTCTTTCACGTGGTGTCCCTTGAATGTCAGTTGTCTTATTCAGGCTGTTGACAGATGCTGAATAACAGTCCATTCAGGAATAAACTCTCTGGACAACGTAGGCAGTGAGGATTTTCCAAATAGGAATTCTTAGCCAGTCTTTAGGAACATGTGTTGGTCTAAAAAGTAAGACTGCTTGTATGGTGGTGTATACTTGATGAATTAATACAGAGAGAAAAGCATTAATTTTGAGATGTAGCTGGTGAAATTGACATTTTCAGTTATGTAACAAAGCCTTTGTTAAAAATAATTCTGAGTACAAAATGACTTTTTCATCTAAAATTGTCAATGAATTGTTGGTATACCTTTAACATCCAGTTGCTGCATTATACATTTTAAATAAGTGACTAAGAAGATGCCACAAAACATTGTCTGAAGGTGTCAGTAAGACCTGTTACTAGAAATAAGACATGACAGGCCTAAGGTTGGCTTTAGAGTTTTTATTTTTGAGGTTTATAACAGCGTTACATGCTCTTGGCTGTATTAAGGTTTATAGAATAGTAAGGATTAGATTTTTCATGCATATTAATTACCAGACATGATGCTTGGTGTATCGGAGACACTCGGATTTGTTGAGTGAATAAGTTAATTTATAATATTTTTTGAAGTATTTAGAAGCTAACACAGTTTTGTGGAGAAGAGTATTGCTTGCATATTTAGGCTTTTAAAATTATTACTATTCTGATTTTGGACAAATCATGCTGCTTGGTCCTTTTTGCTTTGTGAGGTACGTATGATTATGTGCACAGAAACATTGCAGACTGGGGGAAGTGTTAGGAATCATGGGAGAAAATCGTTGTCAAATTGGAGTTTTACCCAATTGCACTCTCATTGTTGGCACAGACTAACTCTGTTGTGTTTGTTCTTTCTTTAAGTGACAGCTCAGTGTATGCAATAAAGCAGGGATTTTAACAACACATTTGAACAATTCTTCTTGAGGATTAGAAAACGAGGTCAGTTAACCAGTTCAGAATGTTAAAAAAACAAACTGTACTTAGAGAAGTTGAATAATGGGAGAAGACTCCCAATTTAAAAACTGATCTTTGACATGATGTAGGAAGGTTCTTTGATTAAGAAGTCAGATAAGTGACCGGGTTTGAAGGGGGGGAAAAAGGC